GCAGAGTCACACACACTACCATTCACACGTTACGGACAATTTAGAGATTCCAGTCGGCCTACAACGCGTGTCTTTGGACTGGGGGAGGAAACCGGAGTACCCGGAGGAAACCCCTGAAGCATGGGGAGAAGATGCAAACTCCACGCACACAGGGCGGAGGTGGGAAATGAACTCCAAAGTGTAACAGACAAAGTGCACTAAAACTTATTTATTTATTGAATCAGTTACCTGATTACATTTGTTTACATTTAGTTTGTTTAGGTTTTTCAATATTAAATTTTTTTGTAAATGTTTGAACAGACACAAGAAGCTGTATTAAAACCTATTTTTTTTTATTTGTACAAATTTTTAAGTTCTTCAGAGAATATTACATAAATATTATACACAATAAATGTTCATTTAGTTTCACCAATTTTCTGCATGTCTCATTTACTGTAATGAAATTTGTTATATCGGCCTCATATTGGCCAATCGTCCACACTGCTTTCTAGATATCAGCATCGGCCATTAAAAAACCATATCAGTTGACCACTAGCTAATGTCCATGTTCCCCCTCTCAGAACTAATGAACAAAACTTGCAAACTGTCACACTCAGACAAATGTCCATGAGGGAAAATTTAATAGCTAAAATTCTAAAGCATCTAATTAAAGGAATCAGATTTAAAGTATATAATGTAACTATGGTTTTGCTAAGGCAATTCAATCTATCAGAGAATCCACTGAGTTCAGACATCCCCATTTTCCGGGGATAGTCCCTGTATCGGATGTCTTGAAATTTGAAATTGTACCTGCGCATAGCAATTAAGAGTTCAGTTTAAATATTCTTAAATTAAGTTATTTAAATTATCTTTAAATTATTTAACTCTCTTAGCTAAAAGGGAAAAAACGTAGAAATCTGGGTTTAATTCTTAAACAATACCTTACTGATAATACTTACTTTTTCATTAAAGAAATACAGCAACATAAGAGCAATGCAGTGAAGGTTTTGCTTTTCAGTTTATAACATTTTCCATGTCACAAATGAAAAGAAATACCATTTGTGTATTGTTTTCCAACAAAGTGATTGCGGTTCGCTCTGGCACGGAATCTTCTTAATAATATAGGCTACCAGTATCTCTTGGCCAATCCAGGAAACTTGGCAACACTATTATCACTCCATTTCTAAAAATCTGGACATACCACTGGAGCAGTCTTTACGGACTGGCAGATTATTACAATGCAGATATCTTTCGAAATTGCTTTGACTGGCCTATACCTTGAAACCTACACTCACTGTGCACTTTAATAGGAACACCTCTACTCCTGCACATTTATGCAGTTATCCCATCAGCCAATCATGTGGCAGCAGCACAATGCATAAAATCATGCAGATACAGATCATGGGCACAGAATCACCCAAAATGGACAGTTGAAAACTGGAAAAAGACCAAGTGATTTTTTTTTCTAATCTTTAACTGTTCAGTTTGGGTTAGTCTGTGCCCATGATAGCCTTGGATTCTTGCTCTTGGCTGACAGGAGTGGAACCCAATGTGATCTTCTCCTGTTGTAGCCCATCCACCTCAAGGTTCGATGTTTCGTGCATGCTGAGATGCTTTTCTGCTCACCACAGTTGTAAATAGTGATTATATGAGTTACTATATCCTTCCTGGCAGCTCGAACCAATCTGGCCATTTTACTCCGATCTCTCTTATCAACAAGGCAATTCCACCTACAGAACTGTCGCTCACTCAGTGTTTTTTTTTTTTTTTTTTTTTGTACCATTCTGTGTAAACTCTAGAGACCGTTGTGTGTGAAAATCCCAGGAGATCAGCAGTTTCTGAAATACTCAAACCAGCCCATCTGGCACCAACAACCATGCCATGGTTGATGTGTTTGATGTGAACATTAACTGAAGCTCTTGACCTGTATCTGCATGATTTCATGCCTTGTGCTGCTGCCACATGTTTGGCTGATTGGATAACTGCATAAATGAGCAGGTGTACAGGTGTTCCTGTTACAGTGGACTATGAGTGTATATGCGCTTGTGTTTTTCTGCTTATGGGCCTAGACGCTGAAAAAGAAGTCTGTTTTGACAGCACAAGCCTAATTCAGTTAAATTATACTGGTACAGTGCTTGTAACAATAGACATTGTCACAAAGCAGCTTTACAGGAATCCAGATGTACATTTAGATCCCAAATAAGGGAAGCCTGACTGTGTGGAGTTTCTGTGCATGTTCTCCACATGTCATGAAGACTGAAGCCCTACCTCTTCACTAAACACTTAAATGTCTAACAGTGTTTTAGCTTGATAGTATTTCTCCTCTGACTTATTTGTAGTAAAATTATATGTTTTTGATAGGGACTACAAAGTACATCTCTTAATACTTAATATAGTATCTTAATATAGTGTTTTCCTGATAGTGTAAGAGGCAGAAGTTGCTCCAATTAGCTTCCATTTCTTGTTGGCTATCTGGGACTGGCTGAAAATGATAACTTGGCTACAATCAAATACTTATTAAAAAAAAAAAAGCAATGCATGTTGCACAACAAAATGAGGTAAACCAGGACAGTGATGCTAACTCCACTAGAGTCCAGCACAAGAGCTATATTTATAGTTTGGCCTAGAACTCTGGCCAGACCCACAATAATATAACAATGCCCTGATGTCACTCCATGTTAAATATGAGAATTTAGACGTTTTTATTTGTCTGCACTGACCACTAGAGGGCAGCAAATCCACACTAGCTTGGCACTGTGTAACAGCTCACTGAACAGAAGGAGGGGATAAAGAGCACAGATGAGAGAATGATTGGGGGAGAAATAGAATAATATTTGCAGATGAACACCAAAATCCCTGGCTTGGGAATGCCACAGTGATATATTTGCTTCATAGTGATGCTCTCGTGTTTGTGTACACCATTTTGTGCCTACTTTTGCACTATATATATATGCACACACATACAAAGCACACAAGGAATGACAGCTGTGTCCATTAACACTCAGTATCAGAGACATTTCACCATCTGTCTCATTTTCACTATTCTCCGTCACTTCATTCATCCTGCTTTTGTCTTTTCATACTCTGGCTCTCTCCTTCTTCTCTCCCCCCAGAGCCCCATCTCTTCTAGCTCTCCAGGCCCCCCAACCCCCATCCCATTTTTCATCCACCTCTATTAGTGACCGTATCCATTTCAAAAGCTGTGAGTCCTAGACATCTCTCATTAACCTATCTTATATTTCATATTCTCACAACCTTGTCATTTACTTCTTCTTTAAAATATTCATTCCTTATTTATTCTGCATTGAAGTTAAATGTAATTCTTCTCTTATACACACCAGTAATGTGGTTCACAATATACTTATACTGAACATCCTTTCAACACACTCAGTTCTGTCTGCCTTTTCTTTTGTACGCCTTGTGACCTCAGTATTATAAGGTTCTACCAGGCATTTCGGTGAAAAAAGAATTAACCATGTAAACTTGATCACTGGGGGATGTACTGTAGTTGTTCTATATATAATTCATGGGCGTGATAAAAACTAGGTGTACAAAAGAAGTACAGCACAAGACTACAGTACACTCTGGTTTTACAGTGTATATACATTATATGGGCAACACTATGTGGACACCTGACCATCACACCCACATGTGGGCCTTCCCAAAGCTGTTGCCACAAAGTTGGAAGCAAACAATTGTATAGGATTTCTTTGTATGCTGCAGCATTAAGATTTCCTTTCAAATGTCATGTGGAATTCTTCCTGTCTCCCACATAGGTTTGAGGATAAGCAAGGAAACCAAAACTTATCAGAATCAATAATAAACTTTACTACAAAGGAAAACCTAATCAATAAAGGAGGTCACTCTCGAGAGCGAACACTGAAGAGTTGACCATAAAGCATGATCTAAAAACCCCAAGGGTGAGGCATATTCTCCCCTTCTAATTGGCTAATTCTAATTTGTCTTACTCACTCTAACTTTCTTTACCATCACTAGATGTCTCCCCATCCCTTTATATCACCCATTTGCCTTTTATGTTATCTAAAACAAGCAAGGCCGTTGAGACCGCATCAGATCATGCTGACCTTAAGAGACGTCTCAACTTCCCTCTTTATCGCTATTTGACGCGCATACCTCCAGCATGTGTACTGTGAGTTCTGCCTGTTAATCTAGCCCAAACTTGTTCCAGCATGACAGTGCCCCTGTACACAAAGTGAGGTCCATAAAGACATGAAAACATGGTTTGCCAAGGTTGGAGTGGAAGAACTCGAGTGTCCTGCACAGAGCCCTGACCTCAACCCCACTGAACACCTTTGGGTTGAACTGGAACACCAACTGCACCCCAGGCGTCCTCACCCACCCAACATCAGTGCCTGACCTCACTAATGCTCTTGTAGAAGAATGAGCACAAATCCCCACAGCCACACTCCAAAATCTAGTGGAAAGTCTTCCCAGAAGAGTGGAAGTTACTATAACAGAAAAGGTATAAACGTTGCTGAACTGTAAATATAAATTTTGGGATTGTAGGAGATTTGCAAGTTGGAATGTCAAATCTTTGATGTCCCATAATTCAAAACATCTCTTCACCCAGTTATAGTCTTATAATACTAAGGTTATATCAGTGTCAATGCCAATTTTATTTTTATAGCACCATTAAAAGCAAGATACCTGTATACTGTAATGATTTATAATCCAACTATTTGATTTCACCCAGAAGAGGATGGGTTCCCTTTTGAGTCTAGTTCCTCTCAGGGTTTCTTCCTCATGTTGTTTCAGGGAGTTTTTCCTTGACACTGTCACTTCTGGCTGCTTTGTGATAATATCAATTGTTAAAAGTGCCACATACAGTACGTAAATAACAGTTGTTGTTCTTGCTCCCATTAGGGGTTGCCACAGCAGATCATTGGTCTGCATGTTTGATTTGCCATAGATTTTATGCCAGATGCCCTTCCTGACACAACCTTCCTATTTTATCCAGGCTTGGGACCAGCACTAAGAGTACGCTCCCAGTGGCTGAGTGGTTCCCTGTCCGGGAATCGAACCTGGGGCGTGGCAGCGGGAACGCGGGACCCTTAGCCGCTAGACCATCAGGGACGTATACATAAATAACAGATGGCATGAAATTTCACTCTGAATCCATGCTGCCTATCTTTATGTCTCTTACACCACAGATGAGGTGAGTGGGAGAAATACCAATAGTTTCACCTTTGTCTGTCTCACTGCTACCTCAATCATGACTGTCAATAATGAGAACTTGCATTTACAACACACTCCATCTCTCTCTTACCACATCTCTTCATCGATTTTTACCATTCACCTTTGCTTTTTCCATACTGCTGACAACCACTAGCATAAATGCCATAAAACTATTCATGTTCTTACTCTTCTGAAGAATAATCCAAGTAGCCAATAAAGTGAGTATGTGAGCTGTCCTTCATGCAACATTCATACAGTAGGGCTCACATGTTTGCTGTCAAATAGAAAGACACTAGCTCAATCCTTGTTCTACCCTGAGTGTTCTGTTGTAATATTTATCACAGTGTTCCAAAGTCTCATTGCAGGAAGAATTTCTCCTGGTGTAACACACTCAGTTCAACTCATCTGCCAGTTACCCAGAAGTTAAGCTGAGGAAATATACACTCAGCTTCCACTTCACTTACACCTGTACCCCTGAACATTAATCTTATTATCTAATCAGCCAATGTGACAGCAGCACACATAAAATCATGCAGGTATAGCTCAAGAGCTCTAGTTATTGCTCACAGCAAACATCAAAATGAGGAAAAATGTGATCTCAGTGACTTTGACCGTGGCATGTTTGTTGGTGCCAGATGGGCTGGTTTGGGATTTTCACACACAAGTCTAGAGGTTACACAGAAAGGTGCGAAAAACAAAACAAAAAAAGCATCCAGTGAGTGGCAGTTCTGCAGGCGGAAACAGCTTGTCGATGAGACAGGTCAGAGGAGAATGGCCAGACTGGTCCACGCTGAGAGGACAGCACTCAAATAACCACTCTTTACTTCTGTGATAAGTAAACCAGAAAACCGTGGTGGGCAGAACACATTGAAACTTGGGGTGGATGGGCTACATAAGCAGAAGACCAAATTGGGTTCCACTCCTGTCAAGCAAGAACAGGAATCTGAGGCTACAGTGAGCACAGGTTCGCCAAACCTTGACAGGTGAAGACTGGAAAAACATTGCCTGGTCTTCTCCCAGACTGTTGTGCTGCTTGAAAAAAGTTTCTGAAATACTCAAACCAGCACCAGCAAATACAGTATGTCACAATCAAAGTCACGGAGATCACATTTTTTCCCCATTCTGATGTTTGATGTGAACATTAACTTAAGTTCTTGACCTGTATCTTGATGCATTGCGCTGCTCCTACATGACTGGCTGATTGGATAATTGCATGAATAAGCAGGTGAACCAGCGTTTCTAATGATGTGGATGGTGTGTGTATCTCTCAGTCTCCTTGTATCTTCTATTGTCTTTCGCCATCCCTCTCCCTGTTCTCTCTGTCCCTCTTGGCAGTGCTATGTAAGTGCTTGTGTTTGTAGCAGCCTTTTAATCGAGGGTGCAATTTATTTAAATTAAACACTACACACCACATGCAATGTTGTCTAAGTAGCAATATTGTATCGGGAACACAGAGCACAAGCAAAATAATACATTTGCAGTTGGTACGCAGTGTTAATTTTGGAAAAGCTTCTTAACGCAGGGTAAATGAAAATAGTACAAAAAGTAAAATGAGACAGCAGAGTGCATTTGTGCACATTTGCCAGTTTCATAGCATGTTGATTATTGCTGTATATTTATGGAGCACTTTGCCAGATTAAAACAAATGCGAATAATATTAATGCTTTTAGAGATAAGCTGGATAGCAGATTCAGTTGCCCTATCACTGTAATCATCTCCACATGCTCTCTTCAACGTTGCCAAGGTTACCCATCTATTGTACACTCCATCCACCCTCCTTTCAGCAAGCCAAAAAAAAAAAAAAA